TGGAGGTTCAGTTTAGGGTTTAGGGTGTAGGGTTTAGGGTTTAGGGTTTAGGGTGTAGGGTTTAGGGTTTAGGGTTTAGGGTTTAGGGTTTAGGGTCTACTTGGAGGTTCAGTTTAGGGTTTAGGGTTTAGGGTGTAGGGTCTACTTGGAGGTTCAGTTTAGGGTTTAGGGTTTAGGGTGTAGGGTTTAGGGTTTAGGGTGATTCAGGGGGCTTAGTAAGTACAGTTATAGCTGCCTTAATTGGGGTTATAAGTTATGAGTATGGTTACCTTATTTACATCCCTAGTTACTAGGAGCCTCCAAGTAGGGCTTTTGGGGCTGAGAGTTCTGGGGTTCAGGATTTTTTAAATTACGGGTTTAGAGTTTAGGGTTTAGGAGGGTCTGGCATCCTAGGAACGCATGGGCTACCTTAGTCCCGACTGAAAAGAGATCTGGCACGTGACCGGGAAGACCCTTTCATTGCGGCGCATAGTAAGTCATTGTCTCCATACCCTAAATCCTAAACCCCAAGCCCTAAAAACAAAATAAAGCCTAAACCCCCTTTCATCATTTATTACTGATGCAGGAAGCTGCAAGTTAAAGGTTCTTCAATGTCACCCCTCTACCAGCACCCCGCAACTACACTCTATGATACCCCTAAATACCCAGCATTAAGGGATGAGGGCTCCATTCAAGGGTATTTTGGGGGGTCCCAGACCACCAGAAGGATTCTAAAAAACAGATCCCCTAAAGGGGGTTCCTTTAAAGTACCCTTTCGTAGTCTAGGGTCCCCCAAAAAGGGGACCTACTGTTTAGTTCCTTCCAATGGTCTGGGGTAGACCCTTAATTGAGACTCCGAAATCCCAGGGTTAAGAAACTCTAAACCCTAAACCCCTAAAAGCCCCTCGCATTCCTACCCTGGGGCTCCCAATAGCCCCGGAGTAGGTCCTACGGTTGATGATGCAAATACTGCATTACCTATAATAAAGAATATTTCATATTTCCCCTAGTTTAAGGTCCTCCAGGTAATGCAGGGTTCATGTCATCAGCGGTATTTGTAGATGTTAGACCCCTTTTTGCACATTCAGCCAGGTTGAGACATCCGTGCAGAGCTTGGCCAACGATGGTATCAAAGCGATGGCAGGTGCACTGCTTGCTGTTACTGTTAAGGATGACCACGCAAGCGAATTATCATAATAAAGGCCTGTATCCTCGAAATGCTTCGCAGACGTGTTGGTAAAGGACATTATGCCAGGTCTTTTGGGTGATAATTGCTCGTGACGCTTGCACGGCACGAGCCTTGAAGCATTGAAAAGAGGCAGTGGTCGCGACGACGGCTCCCATGTTGTCATGAAGGAAATGGAGAAGGCCCGTCCGCTAGGAGTTTTGAGTTTAGGGTTTAGGGGTTCGAGGGTTGAAGATTTCAGGGTTTAGGGGTTTAAGGGTTTAGGGGTGTTGGGTTTAAGCATTTAAGGGTTTAGAATTTCAGGGTTTAGTGTTTAAGGATTTAAGGGTTTAGGATTTTAGGGTTTAGTGTTTAAAGATCTAAGGGTTTAAAGGGTTTCAGGATTTTAGGGTTTAGGGGTTTAGGGTTTAAGGGTTTAGGATTTGTAGGATTTACGGTTTAGGGGGGACCAAGTGCGAGGTTGGCAGGGTCTTTCAGTTTCCCAAAGGGTCCGAGGTACTGTTCTGTGGGAGTTTCCCTAAATCATAATAGTAGTTCATACTCTAGAAACCCTACATTCACTATATAATATAGGGGCCTTGATAGTTAGAATATTGTTTTGGGGCCCATTATACTCTAGTTGTAACAAGGAGCCCTCAAATTAGTATTGGTGATTGTTTAGGCCCCTACATCAGGTACTTTGGACCCTGTGGGTTTACCTGAAAGCCTCCCACAAGCCGAGAAACGTTAGATCCCCTCCCGCCGCTTGCGAAGTGTCAGTGGGTTTTGGTTGCCTTGTGGAGGACTAGGGTCTTTTCATGACGGTTGATGGGTTTAGGGCTTAGGATTAGCCCTACGGGTCCATGTACCCAAATAGAGATACTTTTGGGGCCGATGAATATACTATTTGGGTACATGGGCCCTTAGGGTAGGGTATTGGAGGACTCAATGTTTCGCGTTTAAGGCGAACCTGCCGTGGGCTTGAATCCTACACGTGCAACTCTCCAGGCAGTTGTTGACTTGATTGGAGATCAGATTGACCCTAAACCCTAAACCCTAAACCCTATATCCGGCTTTGTTTTACTTACAGTTTGCCGGCATTAGGCTCTGGAGTCGGACTTCGTTGGCTGGATGATTGGATGTTTTGTGCGTAAGACGAACCGTCTGTGGCCTTGAATCCTACAGTCCAACTCTTCAAACTGTTATTGACGTGATTGGAGAGCAGGTGGAAATCACCTTGTCCGTTATGCGGTTGCGTTTTACTCGTAGTTTGCATCTTCGTTTAGCTACATAGCCACGGGTGTCACCAGAGGCTCTCAATGCGGACCTTACCGGCACTGCTGCCGTTCAGGCGACAGCAGTCTGTTTGCACATGTGCTCGCGAGAGGGGTTGACTGGCTAATAGGGGCATCAACATTGATCGTTACACTTCCCTGATGACCCCTACAGCCTGCAGCATCGTAGTCTGAAAATGCCTGCTTCAGAAGTCGAACTCTATTCAACGGTTGGGTTGGACTCTCAGCATATTACAAAACGAATGAGGTTGGCGCAAAGAAAGGAGCAGCAAAATAAGGACAAGCCATCTAGAGCATGACATAGAAAAACACATCATACAAAACACAGGTTCAGGCTCTGTGTTTCTGGGGCTTTTAGGACCCTAAACCGTGATACGGGCTCAGGGTGCAAGGGTCAGGGTTTGGTGTTTAGGATAAGCATGATGCGCAGTTCTACAACAGCCAAAGGTGAGACTTGGGGCTCTTGCGATTACGTGCTGTTTCAAGAGTTTAAGTTCCGTGGGTATCGACTAAGCAAGTCGCACAGGGTCCAAAGTACCTACATAGTAGACTGTAGGTTTCTATCGTAGTAATTACTATTATGATTTAGGCAAGTATCACCCATAACAGTACCTAAAAACCCTAAAGCCTAAAACCTAAAACCCTACACCCTAAACCCTACAAGCAGTACCTAGGACCCTTTGAGAGCATGATGAGCAGAGTAAGGCTTGATCATAAGGTCGGGTCTGACACGGCTTGTAACCGGAGACTCGTACCTCTATGACGATTGTCTCGATGCATATCTAATAGGGATCTACATAGTACATAAGACGGCTTCCTTGTCATGGTAACTTACATTAACTCAGTTCTCCAGAACCCAACCTTAAATGTTTTTGGGTTCTTATAATTTAGTAGTAGTCTGAAAGTTTAACCTTTTAATTCCCTTGCTTATTGGGAGTAGGCTACATCATTCTAGCTCTGTCCCCGTACTCGTTCTGTTTGGTTGCAACGACAATTCCAAAGACCTGTTTTCCTGATCTGCGACTGCGCCCTTAAAGCCAATTCCGCATCACCCTTTGCGATGCAGCAAGTGGGTGGTTCTGATGCACACATAGCAGCATTATAGCATGTGTTCAGTGTCCTTCAGGATCTACAGTAGCCCGAAGGGTCCATGTACCCAAATAGCAGAACATTGGCCTTAATGTAGTCCCTATACAGGTACTTTGGGGCCAATGTTCTACTATTTGGGTACATGGACCCTTAGGGTAGCGTAGGCCGGTGCCACATGGCATGTTTTGTTGCTTGCATCCAGGCTCAAAGAAAGCCGCCACACCATCAGGGCTTACACGCAGTTGCCATGTTGGGATCGAAGCGCCTAACTCAGAAACCCTTAAAGCCTCGAAGAAGCTTCGGTTTAGTTGCAACAGGTTGAAACACAAACCGTGCACCATGGCGGATGTGCTGCAGATCGCAAAGATCGGTCTTTTCGTCAGCGCAGACTACATGGGCACGTCCATGACAGCCGGGGGGGATGCGACTGAAACCTCAAGCCGCCAGGTTTAGGGGTGCAGGTTCTGGGGTTCCGGGTTTAGGGCTTTAGGGTTTGGGGTGTAAAGGTTTCAGGGTTCATAGGGTTTAGGGCAGGAGCTCGAGCAAGTATAGTAATGCTATTACGGTTCCGTATTATGATTACTGTATGGTCTTCCCCACCCTGTTCTGACTGTTAAATTAAAGCCCCTATGTGTGGGGTCCTTAGGGCTGTTGAGAGCTCACGCGCTCGCCTGTCTGCATAAAGCTGTTTTGAGCAATTCGACCTGGGCCCCCTTCAACATACGATATAGAGTCCTAACGCAATTATGTACCAACACTATGCCTCCGTGCTCCTTCATGTCTGTGTTCATAGCACAAGATACCCTAGAACCCCCTTCTACATTTGCACGCCTCTATGTTATATTATAGCCATTTTTCCAAAAAAACAAAGCGATGTACCCCAAAGCCCTAAGCCTGTACAGGGGTGCGACTTCAGAAGTTCGTGCAAGTCAGAAATCGACATCCCGGGATCCAGAATACACCGTCCCTCAGAAAGTCCCAAACCCGGAACCCTAAACCCAAACCCTAACCCCGAAGCCCTATAGGGTAGTGTTCATGCTTCAGTTGCCCTGGCAGCCTTTGCTCAAGCCCTCTTACCGGGAAACGGCCCTAGCCCCAAACGCTATTTAGGGTTTAGGTTTTAGGGTTACTTAGCCAGCCACGACACCTAAACCCTAAACCCTAACCTGAAACCCTAAACCCTAAACCCTAAACCCTAAACCCTAAACCCTACCAAATCGCAACCTTCTAACCTTGTGCCGAACCCTTGAAACGTGGAGCGTGAGCTAGGCTTCGAAGCCCTACCCTTCTAGATAGTAACCTTTATCTAATATGGGCGTTTCCGAAAATAGGGGACCCCAATATAGTACCCCCAAATAGTAGGATCCTTAGTATAAGGCCCCTAATTTTCGGAACCTCCCATATGTATCCGTAGTATCCAAAAGGTTCCGGGTGCCAGGATGAACAGCCTTTTGCCTCACCTCCCCAAACCCTGAACCCTCAACCCTAAACCCTTAACCCTCATTCCTAAACCCTCAACCCTAAACCCTAAACCTTCAACCCTAAACCCTAAACCATCAACCTTAAGGTTTAGGGTTTAGGGTTTAGGGTCTAGGGTTTAGGGTTTAGGGTTGAGGGTCCTTTGGGTTTTGAGGATGCGCAGCCTTCTGCCTCAACTCCTCGTCGCCTCTTCCGCCTCGGCGGTGGGAAGCCTCGAGTCGTCCTACGGCCTGGGCCACCGGGACTCTTTGGGGGTTTGAGATTCTGGGTTATAGGGTTTAGGGTTTGGGGTTTAGGGTTTAGGGATTCAGGGGTTTAGGGATTCAGGCCGTAGGGTTTTAGGGATTTTGGGCTTTGAAAGCTCCTTCAAGGGCTCCTAGAAGGGTCTCTGTAAGGTGTCTATGAGGTTAAACTTGAGCCCAAAACCCTAAAAACGCTAAACCCTAAAAACCCTGAACCCTAAGCCCCAAAAACCCTAAGCCCCTGAACCCTTAAACCCTAAACCCGAAAATCTAAGGTAGAACCCATGGGCCCCTAGTATGGGCCCTTAACCCTGGGACCCTAATATACCTACTATATACCCTATATATACCCTTATGGGACCCTAGAATCCCCACAGGGCCCATGTTAGGGGCTCATGGGTTCAACCTTAGAAACTGGAGCCAAGGCCAGACATTGGGCAGTCTCTCGCTGCCGTATCTCAGCGATCTCTTTGGCCGGTGCCACGGCGGAAAACGGGGGTTTACGGAATGTAGGGGTTTGGGGGTTTAGGGGTTTAGGGATTTAGGGTTTTGAGGGTGTAGCGGTTTTGGGTTTTAGGATTTAGGTTTTGGGTTTTGGGTTTTGGGGTTTGGGTTTAGGGTCTCTGTACTGTCCAACACTTTACTTCAAGAAGCATGGGACTGTTTCGTAAGTAGGTTTATAAGTACCTGAATTGAGGTTCTTACTTCTACAGTTACGTTATTCAGCCCTCTAGTTACTAAGTCCCATGGGCCTTAAGTGTATATACGGTAGTACGTATACCCCCGAAATTCCTGTAGTGAATATTGCGAAAACCGCAGGAACACTCCATAAAACCGTAGCTCAAGACCCGAAACCCTAAAGGTGTTCTTAGGATCTGCGCCTGTCCCAATGTCCCCAGCCCAGGGCGGATGCCAAGGGAAGTCATAAATGTTTGCCGGCCCGAAGCCCTGAACCAGTTTAGGTTTAGGGTGGTAGGGTGTTAGGGTTTAGGGTACTAGGGTTTAGGGTTTAGGGGATTAGGGTTTAGGGTTTAGGGGTTTAGGGGTTTGGGGGTTTAGGGTTTAGGGGTCAAGGTTTGTGGATGAAGGAAACACTGAGGAACAAGACTGCACATTTCAGAGATTGGACAGCAAGGCCTCAAAAGGCTCATGGGGTCCTTACAGGGGTTATCGGGTTTAAGCCTTAAGCCGAATCCGAATCCAACTCAGATGCAAGCAAAAACCTTGCCCCTGGCGAAGCACTGTAAGGGGGTTGTAACCCTTAAATTGGATTATGGGTTCTAAACCCAAAACCCTAAATTCTAAACCCTAAGCAGCCCTTAAAGTGGTAGGTAGTTGGCGCCAGAGGTCTTTATCAACAACGCCAGAGCACTGACCCCAAAAGATCCGAGAGCTCCAAACCCTGAGCCGTCGCTCCAAGATCGACACGCTTTAGGGTTTAGGGTTTAGGGTTACATCTAGCTTTGGGTTTAGCCTTTACCTGGGGATCCAAAAATCTACCGCTTTAAGGGCTCTACCCTCTAACTAAGGGGTCATGAAATTTTCTTTTGTAGGGTTTGGGGTCACAGGGAGGGTTTAGGGTTTACAGGGTAAGGGTTTGGGGTAGACGCATTTCTCACACAAGAAACCATGGTTAAGCTATGGAGCTTGCGCTGTGTACTGAACAGCGAATGAAAGCTGGACGTGCAAGTTTCAACCCAACGCTTTGAAAAAGCAAAACGACACGTTAGCACTGGAGCTCGTGCAGTGGCAGCTTAAGCCCTAAGCGCTAAACCATAAAAACCCTAAGCCCTAAACCGTAGACCAACAAGAGTCATTTCGTAGCTGGAGTAATGTAGGCTACCTGAATAATTATCTATACTATGTTGGGGGTTCCTTCTTACAGTTATAGTATAATATACCCCAAAACCCTATTCTAATTGTTAAAGCCCCTACATAAAACCCTAAACCCTGAACTTCACCCTATCAACCGTGCAGCTCCAAGCTTTCCGTCCCTAGATCCGAGATGCCGAGATTCGACCCCCAAGCGCTGTGTTTTTGGCGGTTTAGGGTTTAGGGTTTAGGGTTCCTTTCGGGGCATTGGGGTTTAGGATTTCAGGATGTATCCCTAAGGGTCCATGTACCCACATAGTATATACTCTGGCCTTACAGTGTAGTCCCTATATAGGTACTTTAGCGCCAATGTATACACTATTTGAGTACATGGGCCCTTAAACCCTAAACCCCTAAACCCTAAACCCTAAACCATAAACCCTAAAACCCTAAACCCTAAACCCTTTAAAGGAAGCCTTAAAGGAACCCTTTTGGGGTACATGGACCCTTAGGGTTTCTTTCGGGGCATTGGGGTTTAGGGTTTTAGGGTGTATATGGTGATAAGGTGCTGCTAAAGAGTTCTAGAAAAGACCCCATGTCGGCCCCTGAACCCTCAACCCTGAACCGTCCTGAACCCCGCCACCCCAAGCCCGAAACCCTAAACCCTAAACCCTAAACCCCGAGCCCAAAACCAAAAAGTTCAGGCGTCGCATTCTGCAGCTGTCTTGCCTCGGCACCGCTGCCGGCTACAGCTTGTGCCTTGGTTTCCAGGACTCGGATGTTTTGGGTTTAGACTTTCGGGCTTAATATAGGGGCCTTAATAATTAGACTAGGGTTTGGGGCATATTGTACTGTATAACTATAATAAGGAACCCCCCCAAAACCCTCTTCTAATTATTCAAAGCACCTTAACCCTAAACCCTAAACCCTAAACCCTAAACCCTAAACCCTAAACCCTAAACCCTAGGTTTTAGTACTTTGGGTTTCGGCGCAAGGAGCTTAATGCTTGCAAGGCTGAAGACGTGGCCGGAATGGAATGGCGCCCACCCTTCGTCAAGGGACCCTTAGGGTTTAGGGTTTAGGGTTGAGGGGACTAAAGGAGGTCCCTTTAAGGTTATATAGGGGCCTTTCTGAGACGATATAAGGGGTATATATGGGCTATAGGGTATTGGGATTTGGGGTCCCTTCTAGGGGTCCCTCCTATTGTCCCTTAACTTCGGCTATCTTCTTGTTCAGGGTTTCTATAAGGTATGTACTTCTAAATAACCCCTAAGCCCTAAAGCCCCAATCCCGCCCCGTACCCTAAATTGCGGCCGAAGCATACGTACTTGGCTACAGTTCTAGATGTTATTAGCACCTCCTTGGGGTTTGCTTCAGAGGCTTGCTGTTACAGGGGCCTTATGCCTCCTTGCAGAGTTGTGGGGGTTCCTTGTTGGGTTTTATGGCTTAGCCAGCATCCCCCCAACTACCCTCTACTAAACTTTATAAATCATAGTCACTATTAAGGACCATATTATGGTCCCCTAAACCCTAAACGCTAAACCCTAAACCCTAAACCTAAACCCTAAAGGGCTCCATTAAGGGTACCTTGGAGGATGCTGGAGCGGTTTAGTGCTTTGGAGTTTAGGGTTTAGAGGTCAGGGTCCAAAGCTTCGGCAGCTGTCCCATAGACTCATATAGCCACGGTTTAGGGTTTAGGGTTTAGGGTTTAGGATTTAGGATTTAGGGCTTAGGGTTTAGGGTTTGGGGCGGAGTTTAGGGTTTAGGGTTTAGGGTATATAGCACGTGCATTAACCCTAAAGTACCTCTCTTCAGGTACTACTTGAATGCCCAAGTGTCTTCTCGAATAGTACATGGACACCTGGTGTCCCCAAAAAGACAACCCTAAACCAAAATCCTAAAACTCTAAACCCTAAATCCGCAACCCTAAACCCTAAACCCAAAGCGCAACACTTCAAAAGCCTAAACTGTATCTCACGGTTACATGGGGGAGCAGGGTTTACTGCTTTGGGATGTACGGTTCGGGAACCCTAAGCCGTCAGCACTTGAGGATTCCGGGTTGTGGGCTTGGGTGGGGGTTCAGCGTTTCGGGTTTAGGGTTTAGGGGGCTGGGTTTAGGGTTTAGCGGGTTGGGGCTTAAGGTTTCAGTACATCTAACCCCACAATCCATCTTATGAAAAAAAGCCCATGTACTGGTACCGTATATACTTTGATCCGAGGGTTCCTATATGGCCCTTAAAAAACAATGCATTGATCCCTAAACCCTAAACCTTAGACCCTAAACCCCCCAAACCCTAATCCCTAAATCCCTAAACCCTAAACCCTAAACCCCTAAACCCCTAAACGCTAAACCCTAAAAAAAATGCCTACACCCAAAAAATCCTAAACCCTAAACCCTAAGCCCTAAAAACACAACTTAAACCCTAAACCCTACGCCTTTCTTGATGGGATCATGCCACCTCCTCCCCCTAACCCTAAACCCTAAACCTTAAACCCTAAACCGTCCTCCCAGGTCGGCGTTCGCAGTGTCTTCCGAAGAGGCCGGGCTGACACCCGAACCCCCAAACTGTTCAGGGTTTAGGGTCTAGGGTTTATAGGGTTTAGGGTTTAGGGTTCAGGGTTCAGGGTTCAGGGTTTAGGGTTTAGGGATCATGCATGTCTAAATTCATAAGGACCCTTGGGTGGGTAGGGGCTTTAATACCAGTAATAAAGACCTAATAAGGCTTATTTAAGAAAGTATAGTCTCCTAGTACCCCCTCTCCCTGCCCTCTCTCAAGGTCTCTATGACAAACTGTGAGTGGATTTTTAGGCTGAGGGTTCAGGGTCTGGGGCATAGGGTTTTGGGTCTGGGGTTTCGGGTTTGGGGTCTTAGGAACCCTAAACCCTAAATCCTAAACCCTAAACCCTAAACCAAAACCCTAAACCCTAACCTAAACCCTAAACCCTAAACCTTAAACCAAAACCCTAAACCCTAAACCCTACGCCCAAACCTAGCTCGCCTAACGACACCAAGAAGGTTCAGAGTTCGAGGTGTTGGGGTGTAGTAGGACTTTTCAAACCAAACTACCTAGCACGGCTCTCCGTCTATGGCTTTTTTGTAGTTCTCTCATGCTAAATTGAAAAGCTCCTTCATGATCATATACTCTCCTAAAACATCAGCTACTTGCAGAAATACTACCCTGAACCCTCGTACCCGACTTTGCCGTCCATGGGCTTATACGGCTTACTTTACGGTACATGTGGGTGTGAAAGTAGGTGTAAAAAGGGGATCTTCTTTTCATTCGAACCAGACCACAATATTCTGTTCAACCGAAGCTTGAGGGGTCATATCCTACCCCTGTTTTCGGGCACCTACTTTCTACAGAACAGATCTTCCACTGTACCTTGATTAAATGTTTTGTTACATATAGTAGGAACCCTTATTTGAGTTATTGTGTGTTGCTTGACTTAAAGGATTTTGCAAGATCTGGGAATATGTGTGGTACGGTTCAGGCTCCGAGTTTCGCCAACAGCATATACTGTAGTATTCCTTAGTCGAGCGATGTTCCCCGCATTTCTTTCTAGAGGCCTTACACCAAGCCATATGTTCGCAATGATGCATGATGCCGAAGCCGCTGCTTGCCGGAGCCCCGACGCCCGGATTCGGCGTGCCGCGCGAGGTGAGCATCCCGTATGCTCCGCAAATGTGGATGCATGCGGCGTACGCGGGGATAAACCCTAAACCCTAAACCCCAAACCCTAAACCCTAAACCCTAAACCCTACCAGAACGTGCCGCCCTTCATGCCGTATCCTCACGCGATGGGTGGCATGATGACGATGTCCGCAGGGCCCGGAACTTTGCCCTGGCCTTGGGCCCCGGTTTCAACTAGGGGCCCCCTGGAAGACTAGGGTTTAGGGTTTTAGGCTTTTAAGGTTTAGGGTTTAGGGTTTAGGGTTTAGGGTTTAGGGTTTAGGGTTTAGGGTTTGGGGTTTGGGGTTTAGGGCTTGGTGTGTTGATCCAACACGCCGCTCCGACGATCCCGTTGCAGACGGAGACGGTGGCTCTCGGCGACCACCGGCAGGGTCGCTGGGACGGTCGCATCGGAGCAAATCCCTTATTAATTAATTGCGGAATATGTGAATGTGTCTTTAATCATAGTACTCCTCACTTAAGTAGGGGAATATGTCTTCAATCATAGTACTCCTTACTTAAGTAAGGGACCTTGCAAGATCTGCTAAGCCCTAAAGCTTTAGGGATTAGTGTTTGGGGTAACCCCAAACCCTAATCCCTAAAGATCCCTGCAGATCGCTTAAGTTAAGGCTTAAGGAACCCTTTCAAGGAACCC